AGTGCTTCCGTAATTGATATATTTTATTGAAATTTTCAGGAGTTATATGTGGATAATATTGGAGTAAAACGAGAATATATGGAATTGATATTGGAATGATACCACGTACCTTAGGGAGCTTCTACAAAATTTGAGAACCACTGTTCGATGCAATACTTTCGCGCCACCGAAGAATGCGTTTCCATTTACTTTTTGGTATCGAAATCCCGTCAGACTTTCTGGATACGAACGATACGTGGTCACGCGTATCCAGGACCACGAGATTACCCCCACCCGTGAGAGGAGCAGATGTGCACGTGGCACAGGAAGTTTAGTTTTACACGAGGAGCAGCTGACCGACGTGAGCATTCCACCTTGAGGAGAGGATGGTCTCGGTGGTTGGCTTCGAAAGGGGGATGATTGCTTGGCTCCGAGCTAGCTCGGTTCAGCCTAGATACACCCACATGTTCCTCGGCCTACGGAAACGATGGGGCCCCCCTTTGAAGAACAGACCATTAACGTGCTGAGGGCACATTCATTTCCTCCCTCCACCGTTTCATTTCACGTTTCGAAGGATATTTATCAAGCAACGCTCGGTGTTCTATCCCCGCGAATAATGCTACGCTCGAACGTATCATTTTTAATAATCGCGCTCGGGCGATCGTTGCATTACAGATTTCCGCTGCTCGAGTTTTTCTTATCGCGCTGAATCGTACGTGTCGGTTCACCGTGGAAACTCCATTTCTCTTCTAGCCTCTAGCCTAGCGACGCTTCGTTGATTTTTCTCATTTTCTCGTCTCGTCTCGGGACCAAGAGAACTTTGATTTTAAATGATCGTAATCACGAACGTTTCAGCTCGAGAATCGATTGTTTTGCATAGTGAAAAATGCTATTGTCCCTGCGTGGGTGACGCAGTAGTCACACCGTGGAATCGTGAAAGGGGTTGGAGAGGGGCCAGTGAATTCGTGCAGATTGTTGCGAACATTTTCGAGCCGGTGGAACGTGAAACAGAAGTTGGCCCATGAGAACGAGGTGATGGCGTACGAGGAGAAGGTGGCAGAGGAGGAGAGGGAGGAGGCAGAAAAGCTGCCGGTCAGATTGTGAGCCAAGGGAGGAGGGTTGCAGCTGCTGTGACAGCTGCAGGCTTCCCAATATTATTCCCCGGCCGCTCCTATCCTCCGAATGGTGGTCCCTCCCGTCGTCTTTCCAGGTGCTCCTCGCACCGGCGCCTCGAAAATCCTTCTTTGTTCCCTCTGGAGCTCGCCGAACTGCCCGAGTATCGATCCAGGGTTCAACTTTGTCGATTTCGTCGAGCGTTTGTTTAGAAATCGACAAAATTTGTGCTCAGGAACGAGGAGCTAAACTATACTCCCCCCCAAAAATTTGGATTCTCCTCGACTTTGGTCCAGTCGCGCCACACTAGCCTATTCTCGTTCTCGGTGCACAGTCTTGCACCGTAAAAAGCGCAATTATTGCGTAACCGTCAACTTATTTAGGTCAGTCGCTCGACCTTTCCCCAGTATCTACCTGTGCCGGATGCAAAACTGGACTGAACGTCAGGAGAGCCGCGTGCCAGGCTTACGCCAGGAGAACGTAATTGCGATTGCATGACGGAAAACACGGTGGATTTCGGGGAACTCGATGGAGGAGCCGGAAATCCTCGGTGGAAATCTCGAAATCCCGTCGACTGATCATGGAATCTTTAATATTTCAGTGAATTTATCTTTTGGCCACTGCACGATCCTCATTAATATCGCTGACGCTGATACCAACGATGACACCGACGAGGGGGCGGTTTCCAGGCGGCTCCGTTTCCATCTGACAAGTTTCGTGACGATGGGGCATACGGTAGAGACCAGCCGTGACTAAGGGACGTGTTTGGAAATCGGAGAGACTGGTTATTACGGATATCGGATCCCTTGACACGAGAATCGAGAAACGTTACGCACCAATTACAGTAGCGTGTGCGATACTCTATCGCAAAAGTGGCCTGAATCGTGCCCGTAGAAAACGAGTACGCGACGAGTAAGACAAACAAGCCCGAAGAGATGAATTTCTTATTTTTTTCGATACTTATTTGCTTTCGTGCCTCGCGTGTCGGAAAGTAAAAATGGAGAGGCGCCCCGAAATCCGTGAAGGGGGATTTCGAAGCAAAGAGATGCACGCTGCAACCAGCCTGGCCCCTGAGGGGAGAAGATTTTGATCTAGAGTGCGAGGAGGGGAGAGACACCTGCCTGTCGTATAAAAAGATTCGAAAAGGTGTGCGATCGTGAATAACAGGCCTGCAAAATTGCAGTACGTCTTCGGAGAAATTAATACGACCTGACCTGGCGCACCTGTTGCTATGTTTGAATAAAAAAAGGCACCGGAACGCGTTCGCCAATTTCGATCGATCTGTCGTTGCAGATGCGTCCACGGGCGTTGTCTCCGTCGACGAAACTTGAACGTTAACGAACCGTAGCGTTTCGCGATAATTGTGTATTATTAACCGTCCTGGGACGAACAATGCGATTTATAGCGCTAAACGGTCGACGGTTTTAAGTGGGAATCGCTGGCACTGCAGCGGGACTTAGGTAGCCCCGACATAACGCATAATAACACCAATCATCCTAACAACCGTTACGGTCATTCGGCAGATTTCATTGTGCCTCGAGTGCACAGCAATTTCTCCGTGTCGGGGGCTCGACGTGACACGAACCCCGAATATTCGCGGAACATATGTCAATCCAATTAGCGCTCGAGGGGGAACTGTGGCACGAATTCGACACGATCCGCCCCGAAACAGCAACGAAATTTAGAACACACCCTCTGGAGAAACATGACGAACAATGATCGGCTTATCTGACGGCGAAGAAACGTTTCCAGAGTCGGCGGATGAAAGAGACGAACCCGGGAAACGGGAGCAGATGGTGTAAACTTGGAACCATGCGGGCACGGCGAATTAAAAATTCAAATTGTCCCATGGAGGCCGTGGAACAGCAAACGCTGGAATAGAAATAGAAACGGGAACAGAAAACAGTACATTTTAAAACTTCATCGCTATCAGAGACTGGTCTCTCGACCGGTAGGGTGGATCGTTGCGTAATTAACGAAGATTTATTGAACCCTCTGTGATAAAAAAAACTAGCTGAAATATCAACGCGAACAAGTTCAACATCAGATTACGGATACCGGTCCACAAAGTTGCAGGTGAGCGCCTACAAACAATCAGACCCGGCACGTTCAAAGACCGGTGCCTTTCATTTTACCCCCACTCGTCCAAAATGAGCTTAAAATAGCCCTAGAAACTTCTAGAAATTCTTTTTCGTATAACGACCTCAAGGTCAGGTTCGCAACATAACTGTACCCCGCCTTCGCACGCCACTTGCAATTAGGCTACAGTTATCCTGTCTTGCACCTACTTAATCGACAACAGTTATCCTGTATTTTCGTTTAGAGGAAGGCGTGACTGCCATTATCGTTTTTGCCGAACGATAAGCTATCGGGACGGCCAATTTTCGACCGTTCTGTATCTCGTGGAGATCGAAGGCGGAGGTTTCGCGGATGTTCCTTGGTAGAACGCCGATACCGGTTGGTATAGCTGGTCAGAAGGCTCGATTCTGGGCTGGTGGGGGGAAGGTCGAAGAAGGCCGCAGCTGGCTAGATCCTGTCCGCGTACATACAACTGAACGCGGCTGAATGTAAGGAACATGCCTTGCCAGTCGGGCCTTACAATGTCGTTTTCCTCCCCTCCATCGTCACGGACCTGCAGTTGGCAACACGAGTGTCTTTGCCGATCGGTCGTCGTAGCGAGCGGTCAAATTCTTTGTCTTCGAAAGGGTGCCAGTAAAAGTACTGCTTTGACACACACACCCGCTTCGACTACCTACATCGAACAGTCCGCAAATAATTCCGATTAGTCGTTAGACTGCCTATTGTACTGCTAGCGCAGGTACATTTCGATCCACGTTTACTTGACATTCTTCTACGTGCCCTAGACATTCCTAATGACAAGAAAGTCACTTAATAAACTACATTTAGGAAGGAATCTGTAATGCAACCCGTAGAATATTTATAGCTGATCGAATCATTCGTGATGTATACTTTCAAGAACTGTAATTTTCATTACTCTATACCGTTATAAAATTTGATGCATCGTAATTTCTAACTCGTCCAATATTCTAACGTAAAAGTGATTTTTTATCGGCCGTTTCGTCAAATCGATTCGACCGTTATTAATGGAACTCGAAGCAATTTCTAAACCGCGATCCACGAAGTCAGGAGTCGACCGTACTTGTGCCACATATCCGATAATCTCTTTCACACGTTCCTTCATTCACTGTCTCTCCCTAGTCGCTGTCCTCGTCTCTCCGATGCCTTGCAAGTTTTCATTCTGTTCCTTCTCTTCGTTCACTCGAAGGCAGAGAGTCAAGGAGCAACAAGGCGATTCTTTTGCAAAGAGGAGATCTTTCTGAAAATTATATCGCCGTCGCGGTTCATCGCACGGTACCCTCGCTCGCTCCGTCTCGTTCCCTCCCGTTACGCGAACCACCCTGTTGGCCATTTTCCGTGCGTCTGTCCTTGTCGGGTGCACGTAGCCTGTCGCTTTCTATCGGATCCGCCAATCAGCGCGCTTGGTCCAGCGGGCATGACGCGACCGCTCCGCAGAGAGAACGACCGAGTGGACTGCGAACAGTCTGTCAGTAAACTTCGTAGCGTGCGTTTGGCTGGCGCGCGTACAGTCCGAGTGTTTCCATGCGTGTCGCGATACGAATACATGCCAGCCGATCTCTCAAACGCTTATTAATATTTATAAGCGACCGGTTAACGTTCTAAAGTGAATTCGAATTCGAGAACGGAAGATTTGGCAGAGGATTCGCGCGAAACAAATGCTGACGTTGTTCTGTATCGGTCTCGTTAAATAACCGCGAGTGTTGAGCACCGATTGCAGAGCATCCCTCCCCGTTGACAAGCGGGTACAAATATATTACGTATTGTCGATGCGATTTTATGAAGAAAAGATGGTGCGTGGTCTGTCGCAGTGGACGAAAACGTTGAGCTTTCCTGCGAGGGTGTCCCCCCAGAGGCCTGCCAAGGAGTCAAAGGGGTTTCATGTGAGTCCCAGTGCTAGCCCCACGTCGCCACCCAGCCCGATCAACGACAACATGGACAAGTCGCCGATTATTACCGACGAGGTTAGACAATCTTTTTTTTCTGTTTCCACTTTGTGGACTTTGTTTACTCGCTTCGAATCGAATCGAATGGAATTGGTTTTTCGCGATGCATCGTAGTTGATCGTACTACGTGACTCAGCGGCGTCTAAATTTTACTTTTAATTCGCGAAAAATAATTATCCACGTGTCCCGTTTAATTCGCAAACAATTCTCATTCAGCGTGCTAACATGCAGAGGCAGGTCATTCCTCGAATATATTGGAGTAGAGTTTCGAGTTTATCGTCGTACGTGTTTCAGATAACGGTCTGTTGCTATACGCTTCAAGCAGCTACGGTTAATCGCTGGTTATGCATTTCGGGTTCTTCGCATCTGTGTACCGTACGCGTCCCCACATGATTGTTTACTTTCACATCGTCGATTGTTGTGCATCGGTATAGACAAGCATGTGGGAACGGAACGTGTACAATGAATCTTAATTAATTGGAAACAGATGAACGCTTGCTTTCGACTGGAAAATGAAACAATCCTTGGTTTTAAACATTACCACATTTGTCCGTTTATTATGTGCAACTTCATAACCGCTTCTCACACGCGCGTAACATAATCTTTATGCGAATAAAGAGAAACCACAAATGGGGGAAATCTATTATTGGACAAAACGGAAACGGAGGGTTACGTTTCGATATCGTTTACAACAAGACCATTCATGATTCTACCGTACCGTACCGTTGTTGGCACGGATTTTATCCTACGAGAGCGCCCCTCTCGAGTACCCGTTGCATATTGGCTCTTATCGATATAAATACGTGCGTGTGCGGCTATCGAACCGTGAATGCTCCTGTGACTGACAGCACAAAACATTCTATAAATCTTGAACGCCGAAAGAGGGTTTCTCTGTCGCTTCTCAGAAACGTTCGTACAATGTATTCCATACCTAAACGATTTCTTTGTTTGCCTTGTCTGTCGCCCATCTTTTGTTCCATTACGTTGCATACAGTTTCTAAATATCTGTTCGCCAAGCTCTTGGCTCTTAATTACCATTCGATCATGATTTGCTACATAAACAAAAATTAATCCCAGCGTTGACTAACTTTTTATTCATTTCGGTCTTGCAAATCATAGACATTAACTTGATTTATGTGTTTGTATTAAAAAATTGATTATGCGACTACAGTGTTTATGCAAATACCGGCTTTTTGCCGTGTCGTTCTTGCGTGAAAAGAGTAACGCGACAGAAAAAGTCCCACGTCGTCGCGGTTACGTGACACGATACGACACGCAGATGTTCCTAAAAGCCCATGGACAAAACCAAACCGTTCTCTTGTTTGCCCGCCGCGTGTTTTCCAAAGAAAGAGTTTCTAATCGCGGCGACGGTATGCGTGATTTATGCCACGACAGCCCCATTGCGGCTCTTTAGAACTCTGCTTTACTCGCAGGGTTATCCATCCCTTTATTATCGATCGTGTACCGTGACGATTACCAACCGACACGTGCAACGATCGACCATTGTCTCTCGTGTTTCATATAATCGTACTCGAGTGTTTTTCGATCGAATTCACAGTTTTCCAGAATCAACCATATGGTCATCGCGTTTATTTGTACATACATTCTCCATTAACGATATTTGTACATCGTTTTAGTCGCGTGCTGTTGCATTATCGAAAGTAAATCGAATATATTCATGGGTTAATGGAGGGGTTGGAAGTCTCTCAATACTGTCACCGCAGTCCCCCTGTGGTATCAGCCGTGTATGTACTCGGGGAATCGAGTTCATCTGTTTTTGCGGTCGATTTCGTTCGTTGCGGGTCCCCTTGACGTCGCGTTGCCAACACACGTGTGCCGCGTTTACGATTCCCTTTGTGCGGAACACGCTTAAAAACGGGGAGCAGACAGCGACTGGTGGTCAGGAGTGCCAAGTTTCTGCGGGGTCGTCCGGGGGGGTGGTTCGTTTGTGTAAACACAGCCTCTGGAAAGATGACAATGGCGCGACTGCAGACGGTCGGCGGCACGTGCCCAGACATGAAAGCAACATCTCCCACTGCAAACGAATTCGAGCTACCGGCGTGTTGCACCGTGTCGAACGACTGGTTTTTGAAACAGTAATTAAAGCCCGCGTCAGTGATCTTCACGGAGCTTTAGTCGTAGCAGGAAGTCCATAACTAGGGGTCATATTTCGAGCGAAATGCTTATGGTGTTAAATTAGAAAGAAGATCGTATCTGTATAGTTGACGAAGGGATACAGGGAACTCCACGAGATATACCTAAATGGGATGATGAAATTTGAAACTCTTGTTTCGGTTCTCGAACACGGTAGTCGATGCCGACTGACATAGAAAAAAAGGAAGACATAACCTCGTTCCTTTCAACGTTCTGTTCGCTCATATTTTGTCTGCCTACTATGCGTGATTTTTTTACCGACATAAAAACGCATATGGACCAATTTCGAACGTTAGGAACGGTTGACGAGCAAACCGGAGAAAGCGAGGTTAAGTTTACCGACCGTTCGTATCGGTAAACTTGCATTTCGATATAAATTATATAGTTTATTCGAATTCTTCGGAAACATGTAGAGCATTAAAGTAGTACACAAGGTAACAGCGGCAGTCGCGAGACACTTGTTCTCGTTACGGCGTCGTGAACGAAGCGGGACCGAAAGATGACTACTTTGGCCGGCCCGATTTTCACGAGACGACGAGCCGTAACTTTTACTTAACACGTCGGGGTCCCTGGCTGGTCGAAATAGCCGGGGCGCAGAGAATCCTGTCGGTGATCGGCAAAAGTTTAACCCTCCCGTAACAGAAACGCCGGTCTCGCGGTTAAAGATGTCGAGGTGTTCTCCGGGTATATAAAATAAACCGTCGACGAGAGCCGGCGATGTCGGACGGCGAAGGTGGGGGCAAGAAAAGGACGCGACGAGGACTGGTCCAAAGGCGGGGAAAGGCGACGGCGGAAGCGTGGGAACCGAGCGTAACAGATGGCCTCGGCTGCTTCCGAACACGCTCGGCCTCCTTCGTGCACCGCCGTGGCACCGACTCCGCTTTCCGTTCTCGCGACCTATGTGTCGATGCAACTCGATTCTCGCGAAAAATAGATTCGTTAACCCTTGCTGTCCTGCGTTCGATCGCTCCTCGCAACTCTAACCTATCAAATTTCAACCGCTATTTAAAAACGAAATTTTTCGACCTGCATTCGTACCAGTCGTTTTTCTACCGAAAGTATTTTAAAGCGAACGAAACGAAAGTGTGCAGTAATATCCTGTAATGGTGAAAATGACGCGAAAATTTAATGACGATTACTCGTGCATTTTGCAATCGTAGAAACTGGTCTGAACGGAAGAGGCGAATAGACCAAGTTATAACGTTTTTACTATCTCGTGTACAAGAAATGGAAGCGTTAAGTGATACAGATACATAGAGTTGTGTAATTGACTTACAGAGCATACCGTTCGATCGAGACCGGGGAATAGGTTAAGAGGGTAACGATGCAATACAAAAAGTGCAATAGGAAATGCACGCGTGTCGATGCACACGTGCTCTAGCCAGCAACCTCAGCACTTAACCCGGCGGTGCACCGATAAGGTCTCAGGAATCGTTCAAGCACACTTCACCACATTTTAGGGGCACTCGTAAAACTGTGTTAGTAGTTACATCGAACGAATATATGTATGTTCCAATAGATGAAACGTTGTTTCGTTTGCAATATTATTTATGGATAGGGCAATGCTTAGGGTATGTAGTGGGTTCAAAATAGACAATTCAAGCTTCAGAGATTCTCTCAATTTAAATAACAATGTGTTAAACGCTGAAAGATTCTATTTAAAATGTTACAGTACTGTAAAAATATTTCTTCGATGTGCATGCGGTCGCCGGCATCCCAGAAAATTTAAGCAGACAATCGCAAATGTTCCGCGAAATGGAAGATGACAATGTAACAGGAAATCGTCGCCAGGAAGTGTCGCGGCGTCTCGCGGACGCATATGTATAATCTTCAGGAAATGGCACGCATACTCGGGAACCGTTGTCATTGGTTCAGTTATCTGCTCTCGACGCAGAGGTTCTCTCTCTCTCCACACGAATTCGATTATCCTAAAATTTGTTTATTAATTATAATAATTGCCTTACAATAAACACAGACAAATAATATTTTATATGTGTCGTAGGTCCTAATTGCCAACGTAGCAATGTCGTATTTGTCTGGTTCACGTTACTTGGAATTGATACCAGATTTGTTTTTTGTCGAAGTGCACGCAAAACGTGATTATAACACAACGTACAATCTCGCGAAATTATTGATTTATGAAATCGTTCTGTGTTCGTTCGACGGTTCCGACGCTCGGTTTAACGGAAAAGCAAACATTATTTTTGTTCTTTGACTTGCACATCAAACTGTAAATGTCGGGAACGAGAGGATTTTCTTATCGAAGGATGCTTGGCCTGTTTGCTCCGTTTACGAATAAATAAATAAATTACCATCCATTGCTTCGAGGCACAACACACAAACGCGTATCGCAATTTGTGAGTGCGGGCTCCCACTCTGCACTTTCTGGTTATGTTTGGTCATGTGCTGCGCGTTACGGTTGCGTGGAGACTGCAGTCCGCTGCAGTCGGTCGGACTTAACCGCGATTAATAATTCCATAATTATTTGCATTGTGCGATGCGTTTATGGAATTAAAGATTTGATTTATTACACGTACATCAATTACGCGCATCCGTTTCGCGTAGCACGTATCGAATAGTCGGATAACGTAGGAGGGAAAGCTTGAATCCACGAATTTTTTTCATGTTTATCGTATGTACGTGCCTTAACAGCGATCGACAGCAATTTAATTATACTTATCTTAATGACATCCTTAATCGCATAAGAATTACAAGGTATTATAACAATTGTGTCAATAATTTTATAACGTATCATCTGTCACGTACGGTTTTACAAAAATGAAAGTCTGACTAACAAGTCTTTGAAGTATTTTCGATCGTGTAACGTGTTAAATAATCCAGATATTTTAATCTTCCTCGGAAGT